TTATTATCTTTCATATCAATGTGACAAAAAATAGACCTACTTTCAAGTTTATTAATTTAAATTGTTTAATGTGGCCTTAAAACTACACTTAGTTTTTATTCCACACACATTTAACTTTGACCTACCGGTATTAATTTACATAACAGAACAATATTATTTATGAATCCAGCCATGAATATTATAGCCTAGACCTACATATATGTTATTAATACTATTGTTGGGTGTAGAAATGTTGGTTTTTTTTATGAATACTGGAAGCAAAAGTATGTTTGATCATTCTTACGGGTGGATATTGTATGTCATATTTTTCTACACATCCACAAATCTATATAATATTTTGAATTGCAAATTCAGAAAAACAAATTGTTATATCAACATCATTACCATCAATTGAGAGGGGTTTGCCACCTAGGCCCGTATTTTAACCCAAATATGGGTAAAAGATGAGTATGGAATGGAGTGAGATGATATGTAAATTGAGTACTACGACTATCTGCAGTACTATCCTGATAATTAGACCAATATTGGTATATACCAAGGAAAAATGTGGTTCGGATTCCACTATAAACTGTAGGTCCCTTAGTTGCCATTAGCTGTATGGGCTATTAATTAACAGCTGTGTCTAAGGAATGTCGGCCTTAGTCACTAACAAGACTACAAGTCACGCCACTCATCCTACACTCATCTCCATTCATACTTGGCTTAAAATACCTACTATGTATGGTCGCCATTTCATTGAACAGTATTAACAGTATTATGATCTGTGTGTAGCTTTGTTATACTGACTAAGATCAGCTGTGGAGCTGTGTCATTAGTCAGGATAATTTATTTGATTTAAAGTCCCATGATCATGACAGCTGGGTCCAGTTTCGAGCCGTCTACTGACTTTTCTCATTACAACTGATGTTATTTAAATCCTACTAATATTATAAATGAGAAAGTTTGGATGTATGGATGTATGTATGTATGTATGTTTGTGACAAGTAAACGCGAAAAATACTGGTCGGATTGGGCTGAAATTTGGTATGATGATAGCTCACATTCCCGATTAACATACAGACGCATTCTTATCTCAAAAGTCCTTTCGGGCTCCGCCCCAGTGGCTCTGGAGTTTCCCATGTTAACCTTATGAGTAATCATATTTAAAATGAAATAGTGTATGCAGGACAGTGTAATTTCTGAGTCTGTTAAAACAATGTCCGACTGGTGTAAGGCCAATAAGCTGTCTCTTAACGTAAACAAAACTCAAAATCTGGAAATGACCTATGGTAACTCTAAGAATTCTCAAACTCCAGTCAAATTCTTAGGTGTGATGATACAGAGCAACCTAAAATGGTTTTCCCATATTGATTTTACCGCTCCAAAACTCTCCAAAGGAATTTTTATTTTAAGAAATTTAAAATCAATTGTTTCTCCAGATGTATTGTTAACTGTGTATTTTAGTTATGTTCATTGCCATTTAGTATATAGTGCCATTCTCTGGGCTAATTGTAGCCATGCCAACATCTTGTTTGTTTTACAAAAAAGAGCCATTAGACTGTTAAGTAATGCTCCCCCACGTAGTCATTGTAAGCCTATATTTAAGAAATTGTCTGTGATGCCCTTAACCTGTATTTATATTTTTCAATGTCTGTTATATGTTAAAAACAACTGTGATATTTTACTTTGTAATAAGGATGTGCACAAGTATGCCACAAGGAATTGTAATAATTTAAGAATAGATCAGTGCCTTTATGCCACCACTCAAGCTAGCTTCAAATATACCGCTACCAAATTGTACAAGTTACCAGTTAAAGTTAAAAAGTTACCATTAAATGTTTTTAAAGTAGCCGTCAAGAGAATTCTTCTAAAAAACTGTTTTTATAAAATAGAAGATTATTTTGCCTCAACCTTAGATTAGTTTTAGTTGTATTATATTGTTGACGCAGCCTATACACTATTGTACTTTTCACAATTTGTGTCTATGGAATAAAGATGATTTGATTTGATTTGATTTGATTTGAATAAAAGAAGTTTGTCAGCTGTTTCAACTATACAATTTGGTTCTATGATATTGAATAGTATTAAAAAGTTACGTTTACCAACAGGGTGCAGTCCTATTATTTTTTACATTTATGACAACACCTATCCTATAAAGGTCATAAAGGTTAAATTTTGTTTTTAAAAGGCGTATGTGTAACTATTTTATCAACAGATGTAAAGATCAAAATGATTCTATTTCGTGTTCTCTTCCCGTTGCAAAGCACGGGTACAACAGCTAGTAGGTAATAAATCTAACGATTGCAACAAAATATTTTAGTGGGAATCCAGAAAGGTAAATGGAAATTTGACTAGTCCGCAGGTTTGCTGCTAAGGGGGTAATTATTTTTACAGCTTTAGAATAGGTAGGCCTACACACTATAGCTTATCCTAATTAAGTTTGCACAATTTTTTTAGTCCCCAGTTCTTGTCTGACTTACTTTTACCGTATGAAATAATATATACTGTAGGTTCCCTATATTACAAAACAATATAGCAAATTAGGGCCCAATCCCAACCCCAAGACAACAATGCTGTCTGATCTGAAATGGGGACATTTATTAAAGAACTGGCAAACAGCCAGAGGTTTGAAAATGGAGAATGAAGCCAGGGAAATAAAAATGGTTCAAATCAAAGCCAAAAGAGTGAAAATAGTTTACACTAAATACATATATATAATACGGTAATTTTCCTACTCAAAATCGTATTATGTAAATACAGTAATACCTTGGATTTTTTCTTTTCTTTTTTTAGAGTATATTTTTAAAAAGGTTATAAGAACTTAAGTGAAATTTGTGGTAAAACATAAAATATGAGTTTTGTTTAGCTATTTTTACAACAATTGACATATTCGCAAGGGAAATGTAGCAACGCAGCAGTCCCGGCCTACCAAGCCAGCTGTAGCGCTCACTAATTCATATGGAGCTTCGGCGCAAATCTCATATGGTTAGGCTACACATTCATTATCGAGAGTGTGTTCAAAATTAAAATTAAAAACAAAACGAGATTTACAAACATAGAGATTGTGGAGGTGTGGTGTTATAAGTGTAAACCTTGCATTTGAAAAGTTAGTGCGTGAACGAGTGCAACATTGCCATAGCCTAGCATTAATGGAGCAGAGTGTGTGGCTGATAACGCAAGTTTGCAATTGACTAAAAATGTTGTTATTTTAAATAAGTTTGGTAACATATGATCGTATATAAAGTTATGATCATCTCCACCGGCTGGAAACACGATTAGCCAACTTAGATATCGAGCAAAGCTGATCCAGCCCAAAAAAATACTGATCAAGTGTTGTAGGTAGTTCTAAAATTGACAATGTCACAAAATATACATAAAGTATGATTTAATCTGTTATGGTTTTAGTTGACTTATGCTCACATAACTTAACTTAAAAGGTAGCAGACAAGACAAACAAAATAATAGGCCTATTTCAGCCCTATATCAACTGTAAATTCAACTGACTATGACTAGAGAGACAAAGGCCCTCCTGACCATCTAGCATATTAAGTTAATTCAACCTTGTTTCTTGTTTCCTTGTTTGTAACATCAGGCTTAAATGTCAATATATTTTACTGTGTAGCCTACTTCCTTAATGGAGGGATTAGTGGGTCTACAAGTAACTTATTGCTAAATTTGAAAACCCAACAATATTAATTTTGTGTTGGTACAAATTATCTGAAGAGGTTTGTTCCTAAACTTAATACGTGGTGAAATGGGCATTAGCGATTGGTTTTAGGTCCGCCTCTTCTCGACTTCTTAATCAGGTTGCTTAAAGTCTATTTTGAGACTAGCTAAGTTAGCCTACCAATCTGATTAGATAGCCGAGTGGACGGAGCACACTAGCATCCAAATCCAAAGGTTGCTGGTTACATCTTGACAACGTAGGTACCGATCAATTTTTGCTCCAGTTTCCAATTGCCATAGGGTTATCAAATTAATGACACATGCTAGGCCTATGCCAACAACAAGAGGTTGAAGTTTGATTGTAACAGGAACAAGGTGTGTTCCCTCCCTTTCAAGAGATAAAAAATGTTAACTTACAAGGTGTAAAAATTATACAACTAAATTTAAATCAACCTTTATCATTAGCCTAACTTAAGTTAATCAATGATTCTAGTAAAAACTAAACATTATTTAGTAGCCTAGCCTACCTGCAATTTGGATTAGTTGAGTTGATGGGTTGAGTTGGTTAGTTGAGTTGAATAGGTGAACTGTCATAAACCTTAATGATTAGAAAACGGTTTACCATCTACTACCATCATGGGCTTATTTTTTATATTACTATAACATATCCTACTCCTTATATTATAAATTAACTGAATTTATTAACAAATAGAAATATAGCCTAAACAATGAATAGGAAAGCAATGTTCAAGTACACTCTCATGCACATTTTAAACATTCACACAAGAAATTGATGATTCCCCAACGGCGGAGATGAATGGTGGAGAAGACATCGATGGTAAATAGTAAACACCATGGCCCAATACCTGTGCCAGACTATTTTCACTGTAAATGATAGTGGGCACATGTCCCCAGCATATTTCCCATAAAATTGGTTGAATGAATTGTTAACATTTGACTTAAGTTACTAATAGTGGTTGCAGTTGCATTTAACACCAAGCTAGTGTTCTAAAGGATTCATGACATATTGCAAATTGAGTTTAATCATAGTTAGGGCCTACTAGCTTTGGAAATGTCCTGGTAACATTTACCAAATTAGACTTAGGCTAAACAATGTTTTAAAAATTAAAGATTAATTATCGTCCAAATTGTTTCAAGGTGATAATATTTGTTTCAGTTGTTTGAATAAGAATAATAAATAATAAATTGTAATTAAGTTTAACGTTGTTACCGAGTCACTAACATAGATAGCACATTGCTGATAAGAGACTTTTCTGCACAGGCCTAGGCCCAAAACACTTGACGTTAGGAAATGACACCTATACAATTAGAGGTAATTATTGAACTAAGCTTACCGTGTAGTATGAAAGAATGCCTGCATTGTCGTCCAAAACAAACCACCGATATTGCCAACCTTTCATGACATTTGTCCACTTACTCAATGAACCTTCCATCGTCGCCATTTTCGCGTTTACGATAAACAGAAACACTGACGGACGACGCACGACTGACACTAGTGACACAGAAAGACAGAACACAAACCACAAACACTCCACAAAGCGAAAGCAGATGAAATACTCCACTCTACAAGTCCAGTCCAGTCCACTCTCGCACGAGACATTTCACGGCCACCTATATTTAGGAATTAAATCTATAAAATAGTGTAACGGTAGACGACAAACCTAAAGTACAATGACGCAAGTAATATATATTTAGCATGACACTTGTCTCGTAAATAGATCACTTCAAACCTGCTTCAAACAATCAATAAAATGAAATGTCATTAGGAAGTAATTTTGTTACTTATATGTGGAGGCATTGGCGTGGCCTAGCGGCCGGTACTGCACAGTTTGGCCGGAGTCGTGACCTCCCCACAGCCCACACACGTGTACAGTTTGGCATTGGCTGGAGTCTTCTTGCCTCCCCTTTGTCTAATAGGAAGTTAAGCTTATTGAAGTACCACAATTTCGGAGCATAGACACCATCCGTTCCCATCCCAGATTTTTGTGAATATTTAACTTCTTTAACTCTTTTCTAAATGCACTCGATATGTTGTTTATTTTTTCACCACAGTGTACTTTGTTGCTTTTTGGTCAGATTTGTTCACAAAATCTACTGACTCTTTATAAGCTGCTTCCCTAATGTCCCTGTCGTGGTATTCTTTGCTTATTGAAGTAAAGAAGTCACATGCACATGCGATAACGCTGATAAAGTGGTGGGAAGGGGTAAGCAGCGCTGTCTTGGACTGCAGGATTCACCATACACGTTCAGTTCGGCCTCAAGGGCGCTGGTTGGGGCATCATGTGTTTCCCATCCGGCCGCCCGGCCGACGATCTGCCTGAAAAGGAACCACCACACACGTTCAGTTTTTCCTTCAGTCCGGGACTGAAGGAAACCCGGAACGTGTATGGTAGGCCTAAGTGAGTCACAAGCGTCTACAGCCTGACTGATCACTTATTTTTGCAAAGGAAAAACTAGCCACTGAAAAAGAAGAACCTGTTGATGACTGCGGCTTGTCGTATTTATTTATTTATTTCAACGGACATCTCCATTTCCGTATGCGACATCAATAATATAATATAAACAGAAACAGACGGATTACCAATAGCCTCAATTCCAAAACACAGACTAAACCACGCCATTCACATAACGAACCTAAAAGTTTAATTATTGTCTAAAAAACATAACTTATATCCGTGGCATCTGATTTATTTGGGATTCCTGCCTGAGTAGCCTACAATCAGGCATTTATTTATATGATGTTGCCTTAGCCAACAGGCCCAGAACAGAAAGTGTTTCATTTATGGAAGAAATAAAAAAACACACCCACATTGACTTTGAAATTGAAGATATTATGAGCACTGAGTAAAATAAATGGATTAGTACCAAACTTATAACAGGGTTTATGTAAATTTTATTTTTCTATTTATATAAAATTCGATAGTTTTGCCATTGTCATTACCCAAAATAATTACTATCGTGGTCATAATTCTTGATCTTGACTTCTTTTTTAGATGGACGGACAGTTGTGCTTGCACTGTTCAGAGCAGTGTGTTTACTGTTTACCACACTGTTCACAGCAGAAACCATAAAGTCCTTTCGATATTTTTTGAATTCCCAGACACATCATTTATAATTTTACCACAAGAAATTCAGAACTTATTTTAACAAACATGGTACCAAGAAAAAAGGTAAAGAAGGCAAAAGCCCCCCACACTACCGCAGACCCAGACCGTCTGGGCTTAAGCTAATCAATATCAAACAGCTAAGAGCCAAGAGCCAAGTGATCAAGCGTGAAGCGGGAGAGCAAAACAAAACAGACGACGATAGCATTCGTCATCAAGAAAACTAGTTATTCTTTTTCAGTGGCCAGTTTTTTTCTTTTGCAATAAGTGATCAGTCAGGCTGTAGTGTAGACGCTTGTCAAGAAAACCCAGCTTGAAAAATTAACGATTATGATCTGTTAGAATAGAAAGCCGAATGTTTCATTGCGCTACGGCGGAGTGAAAGGCGGCCGTGGCATAATCCTATAGCATGGTGGAAGGAAAAAATGTTTACGCCACACTACATTATTTTGACGAACTTCCCACGCAAGGATTTAGTCCAGAAAACAGCTGTTTGCCGCCAGCTTATTCAAATGGGGTTTCATTGCGTACTACTGTGCTGCAATGAGTTTTGCCGGACACCAATCAGCTGATTATACTGTATTTAGGTGGCAGTGAGTGGTTATAAACAAAAACATAACCTCTCTTAGAGGTTATGACTAGTGATTTTTAGTCCTTTAGTTGGTGGAAATATATAAGGATTTGTACGGATTTAGTAGTATGGCGTAAACTATCGTACGTAACTCGTCCAAAATGTGTGTACCGGACTCGTATGGTAATCCCGTACTCGACTTCGTCTCGCACGGGAACGACCACACTCGTCCGGTAAACACTTATTTTCAGGACTAGTAACGTAATATACTATTTTTCCTTCCACCATGATGTGCCATGATCCTATAGTGAAACCGTGAAACTGTCACATTCACATAGTAGCATAGACTAACCAACACAAGATAGTAGTGCATAATCCCACAGTGCATAACAGTTATGCACAGATCATACAGGCGAATGGATTATAATTACGGAAAGTAAAAGAAGAAGATAGAAAGAGTAAAAGAATCAAATAACTATTAAAGAAATAAAAGAATAGGATTATAATTATAATGTATAATTAGAATATATGATTCCATTCTCCCACCTCTGTGGGTTGTTGTTGTTGCACAAGTCATTCTTACCAACCTTAGTCTGATATTACCGACCAATCAGAAATTGAGAAATCGTCATTTTTCGCATTGTCGCTTTGTCGTCGACGGACGTCGAGTTGATAGTTGATCTTGGGAGCTTAGACCTCAAAGTACCAAATTTTTGTGTAACAAACAGTTAAATCTAGCAGTTATCGCTTCCGCTTGTTTATCGGAGATCAAGTAGTTAGTTACACAATGACACGTAAGTCTACACCAAAATAATCAACACTAAGTTAAATCTTGATCTTCCTTAAAATCTCACATTTTTGGAATAGGTACAGTGAAAGCCCAGCCAGGCCTATGTTGACAAGAATGCCTTTTATTTAGACTGAAATGTTATGGATTTGGTTTTTCCATTAGTCTTCCCCAAAAATCCCATTTATTCGTAACTGATTGAAGAATAGGCCTAGTGTAACGGTCGTATTCCTCTTGTAATACGTACTGTTACTTTGGGTGACGTAGCTCAGGAATGAAACTCAGCACTCGCTTACAAAACCCAACTTTATTAATTACTCAAAACAACACAAAGAACACAGAGATAACTAACAATCAAAAAGGTAGAGTAGACTGGAACTGTATAAATAAGTTAGGAACTTAAACCCCAATTTGGAAAAAGACTCTAAACCCCAATTTTGAAAACCCTTAACATTGTCTTACCTGGACCCAAGGCCAAGGGCCTTGGGCTCCAGCTCCCCCAGCAGGACCCCGTCCTCTGGTGCACCACACAAACACTACACACCAAAACTGACCCCTTGATCAAGTGCACTGGCCTACTTAAAGCAACAGCCTTCAGTAGGTCAGCACAACAAGTTATTGTTTAACAACACTACCAGCCTACTCACACAACATTGCCAAACACTTCCTCTTTACAATATTTGACCCTCCTATTACATCCCCCCATTTCCTCCAGACGATGTCCCCAGCGTCTCAACTACATAGATACATCTACTTAGAGAGAAAAAAAAAAATAACAACAACTGATAAAAATCTTTTAAAATTGTACCTAAACAAAATTAAAATAAGGTTTAGGAGGGGAAGAACTGACCAACTGTTCGCGGACTTCCTCAGCAGTTGCGTCGATAAAGCCTCCTCGAACAGTCGTTGGTCTTCAGATGTTTGACCACAGCCATGTCTTCTGCGATGTCTCCCACTTCGGTGTCTATAGTCTGTAGTCCATCCAGCACTGCCTTTGCCATTGATTGAGTGTACTGCAGCCTGAAGTTCTCCTCTTCTTAAAAGCCCTTGCCCCCAGCTGCGTTTCCCCAGTTTTTATTGAATTTGACAAAGTCTCTTCCTCCAATCACAATGTTGAAGATAACACGGCAAATCATGAAGTTCTTGTAGCCTTGTCTACAGTTGGTCAGTGGGGATGGGTAAATAGGAAGCCTACACAAACATATAACTCACAAATACAACATATAATTTATAAAAAAAACCCTAGACTTTTAAAGAAATTCTTAAACTCACATTAAGAACAAAACAACCAACATTAAAACAAAAATTATTGAAACTAAGAGAAGTGTTTGGAATGTGTTACCTTAACAAATCATAGGCCTATACGATTAAATAACAAAACATTATATATAATTTCTGATTGGTTTACTTTTAACTCTTCAAGTATGACCTTTTTAAAGCATTCGAAACAAGGAATAGTTTAACAGTTGTCTCTCATATCTGGTACTTTGCAATTTAAGTCTGAATCAAAAATAAAATACAACAATATGTCTCCCACTGAAGTCCCTGATACTTAAAAATCTAAAAACCAAAATATATCTCAATAAAATATTTTTGTAATACATAATCCGTCTTGTCTTCAAAATTTTGTGAGACTATTAAATTCACTAAAGGACACTATTATTTCCCAATACAGTTATTTTCGGGGAGTCATGCGATTTATCTATTAACTAACAATACAAAATTATCTCCCGAATCAAATTTGATTTCCCATAGTATCTTTAAAAACACAACCAAAATTGATTACTATTAACAAAAATAGTTAAACAAACATTTCATATCACTCCCTACTTTGCTTCGGTGTTAAAACAAGTGAAACATTTTACTTCAGTAGGCTACATTTTTAAATCACATACTTCAACAACTAAAAAAAATCATTAAAAAAAATGTACTTAAACAATTTCATGTTTATCCTCTCAAAACAAATCGAAAACAAGATTGCTGGAAAAAAAAATGATTTGGGCCCAAATCGTTACAATCTAACCCGTAAG